ACACATGCACATGCTGATGGTGACAAGCTGCTGTATAGTAGCCATATCTGCTCTGGAGTAGTCAAGTCAATCAGCTTACCAAAAAGTCAAACAACTATCTCAACAACCAACCCGCTATGGACCAACCACCCAGCAAATCATTCGGTAAACCAAATGAACTAAGCCAACAAGTCATCAAGTTTAACACATTCAGCCCCTTAAGCAGCCAAACAACCAACCACTGTTACGGTGTTAATAGGGCATTGTTTAATGTTTCAAACTCTAACTCCAGTTACTGATGATCAAACCTTAGTGTCTTTCTCTTTGGATGGACTTCAGTCCTGCAAAAATGCTCAAATATGATTGACTGTTGGCTTTATTTAATGCTGATAACTGAGCTGAGACAAATGTAAGAATTTCTGTTAACTAGAGTATTTTTTGTGTCTTTGTGCCAACTATCCTTCATCATCTGCACACACCACAGAGACAGTGCAGTTTGTTGGAGATGTGGCAGAGTGCATTGCTCTTAAACATAGCTTTGAAGTCAAGTCCAAGAACAGATGTCCAAGGACAAAGCTGAACAAAAAAGGAATGTTGGCAGGTACTCTAAATAAGATATGTTTACTCAGGCCTGAGACCTGGCAGTGCAGTGCTTCACTCAGTGCTCACAAAGGCTTAACATAAGGCATCATCAGATCACTTTCACAGTTCTTGGCATTCTGTTTAAAGTAGGGATAGCCTACACCTCACACAGACTCTTTAGACAAGATCAGACATGATGTGGGTAGAATGAAGGATCAGGATCAAAGATTTAGGGTTTAGGGGTGAAGGTGAAGGTGAGGAATGGAACATTAAATGGTCTGAATTTAAATAGAACATTTGCTGTTCTTACTGACCACAAACACTAGAGCCACAAACATACACTGATACACGGGTCACTTGACGTCTGGCAGCATGGTGTAAGCTGCCTTGCCTGCAGGCGCATCAACATTTGTCAGGAAGCAGCTAGAACTAAACCCACAGCTTTCAGATTGCACAACAATCAGTGCCACAGTTGCTTCATTATCTGTTAAAAATTAACCACAATGCACAAGCAGTCTGTGTATACACAGCTTTTCTGTGTATTTACACAGAAAAAACACATCAGGTTGTTAAATGTGTGATAAGTCTAGAATGACGTGACTGAGTTTGAAGAGTTAATAAGAGAAAGTATTATTTGGCAGAAGCCGAAGTGGAGACACATATCCAGTACAGTATCACTACAAATAATTGTAGCATTTGTAGTGATATACTTTTAAGAACTTATGTCACTACAAATATGTATCCAAACTTGAAGCATTTGGGCTGCTTTGCAGCCACAGGACCTATGTACCTGGCAAGACAAAGTTGATCATGAGTATGCCTGTAAATGAGCCATGCAAGTAGCAAGTCTGTAGTTTCCAACAAAATGTCTAAAAAAGAAAAGAATCAAGGTGCTGAATAAGTCTAGACCTCAACCTTCTTAAGATGCTGTCGTTGAACAGTTTAGACTAGTGCAAAGCATCTGCAGACCTCAAACCAATGAAGAAAACTTTAGCAAAATCCATCCACAATGTTGGGAGGTGATTACTTCAGACTTTTTTCTGCTAATGGTGCTTTTATGAGCCACTGAAACAATGTACTTCTGAATTTTGACAGATTGTGATGTTCTCTAAATCCTGGATGATGATTTTTTTCCCCCTCATATAATGAAATTTTCATCCATGTTTAAACTCTTATCCATGAGACACTGAGTGGTTCCAGTAAGTGGACTACCTAAATTTAAACTTGTGTCAACCAAAGAATGTGAAGTGTTTATGTCCTCTGCTCTGCTCCGTCTTTCTTTCAGTTCAACATAACATAAATGATTCTCACAAGGAAAACAATTTAACCTTTCTGTGGTTCTGAAGTAAAAGAACCTGAATGCAGTGACTGATAGCTCTGAAGAAAGCCTGATAATAGAGCGATAATTAAATGCTGGATGTCTCATGAGAATGATCCATCCCATAACTAAACCCTGAGACAAACATTTACAGACCTGTGTTGTCTGAGAGTCAGTCAGCTGGGCAGAACATTTCTAGAATGGAGATTATTGCTTCATTGTAGTGTGATTTGTTGAGTCGTTGTGATTTGACACTGACATTTTTAAAGATTTTCTTTTTGCGGATGAGAGGAACTCCATCTCTATTATAGGCCAGCCATCAGTAAAACCCCAAAAACTACCCACCAACTCCATCTGCTTCCAAACAACGTAGCATGGAGCCCCCATGCTACATAAACCCTCCACCATGCATTCTCCCCATACATGCTTTTTGACTCGAGAAGATGGAAGACTTCATCTGTGCTTCGTCCGACAGATCCTTCTGAAAAAAGGAACTCCTTGTTGCTTTACAGGTTGTGTAACAGTATGGAGAAGGAGCTGATGACATTCATTCACCCACGCACACTTTCTGTATCTCCACACCCTTGTAGAGGCCTTCTGACCGCAGCTTGTTAACCTTTAGTCCATACCTGTTAAGTGTTAGACTTGACAGTACAGGAAATATTTATTCATCCGCTGCTGGTGTTAGAGTGGGAGAGTTGGTAAGAGTGCAGATGTTTCCATTAGCGAGGCTGTGCCTTAGAGATCAGACAATCATCTCCATCATCCATGTGGGGATTGAAGTTCAGGCATCTAGAGAAAGTGATGGATGGATGGATGGATGGACGGACGGATGTATGCTTTAGAGTTTGGTTAAACCCATCATGTTTTGTATACACAGAGTGGGTTTTTCCACAGTCTGAGTTTGCATTCAGAATACAGTTCTTCAAACAAACTCAAATATTCCTTCCATTTCTCTGGGAAGTTTAAGTTCTTCATGCCTAGGAACCTTGTCCTTTTCTTCTCTTGAACCCTGAACTTAAGCAGAGTGTTTTCCCTGCTCTCCTGTACAGGTCAATCCCACAGCCTCTATTTTTCATTTAATAATTTGGAAAACTTCATTGTTCCTATGTGTTCACAGCAGAGGCCATGCCATGTTTTCATCTGTCCATAGTCATATCAGAACTTATACCACATCCTTACGCTGACCTGGGGCATTTTTCCCCCATCTATCCTATTACATCTGGGTTTATTTTGGTTCTGTTTACCCATAATGCTTTGTGATGTAGTGGGCTCCCTGCATTTGGTTCCTTTGAATAAAGACGTGTTTTTGATGATCCACAGTTAACTGTTTTGCTTTGTTTTAGTGCCAGAATTGGACTGCATACTTAAACCTTCCTAACCAAATCAGGTCAGAGGTTGATTCAACTTTCTTTGGAAAGAACATCTTCTGATGGAATATATTTGTCTTTTAAATATTTTACTGAATGACAAATTAAACTACATTTAAATTAATTGACTTGGTTTTGTTCTGGTCTAACTGGTCAGCTGTTGGACTGAAGTAGATTTCCGTTAACAGACTCCAGGATTCTCACTTTCTTCCTGTTCTAAATTAAAAATCTTCTGCTTGCTGTTTGTTCATCACGTTCTCTGGACACCAACAGCACATTCTCTCATGGTCACATGGACCTTTTGGAGTGGGTAAACTACAGTAGCACTCATCCAGATGTTTGGGATTCCTGATGTGGAATGGACTGCTTTACTGAGAGCTGACTACCAAAGACTGGCAGAATCCAATCCTCAGACAGTTTGGGGGGAGGGAGGGGGGGTGTGATTGGGAGGAAGTAGGGTGGAGGGGGTGAAGAAAAAGACCAGATAGAGGCAAGGTATTATTTATTAATCTCCAGATCCCTCCTTTACGTCAACCTCTTACTCCTTCTCCTTTTCCTCTGATCACTCCTTCTCTTGTTCCTCTCTGGCTCATCCTCTTCAGCCTCTCCACCCCCCATCCCCTCACTCTCACCAGCTTGATATCCTTAACTCCTTCTCCTACTTACGCTCCCTGGTTCTCTTCTTCAGCCTCTGATCTCTCTTGTACAGCTTCCTGCTCCTCTTTGCCACATCACAACTCTGCTCTGGGTTTGCTGCTCTGTTCTTTTCTTTTCTTCCAGTCAAAACAAACAACAAATGCATTATTTTAGAAATTAGCATGTTTTTGTGACTGATGAATATATATATTTTGGCAGTGTCCACTTATGCAGAGTGATATGTAAACTGTGTTGATAAAGAAATTGAAGAGCGTTTTTTCACTAGTGGCTAAAACAGTCAAATGTTAGCAAGGTTATAAATAACATTAAAACTATGTTGATGATCAGTTGGCTGTTATGTTTTTTGACCGTTTTCCTGATTTAATTGTTGTTCTCAGACAGAGGTATTGAGCTATTTGTATCTTTAGTTCATAAGTGTTGGCAGAAGGGAGCGGAAGGATAAACAGCTAAGCTGCAGTATGTCACTTTTATAATAAAAAAACATGTTTTTCAAACATGGCAGTATAATATATGTGACACATAGTCTGGGAAAGAAACTGAGGTTCTTGGCCTTCTCCCAGTATTATCTGCAGAAATACCCCATGGAGTCAGAAACAACCAATCAGAGCAAGGAGGAGGATCTTATGATCTCAATCAATCTCATGCTTATCTCCTTCTCTTGCTCTCTGCTGGTTCACCACAACATAGCCTGCCACCTATGCTAAGACTCGTTAGGATGGGTACCTATGTCGACAAATCAGTGGTTTTTCTTGAACAATAAGTTGTCTCTCTGCCATTAGAACATTGAGCAGCATTGATTAATAGCACTAAGACCCTCCTCCTAGCTCTGATTGGTTGTTTTTGGTCAGGAGCAGAAAATTTCTTCAGACTGCAACAGTCGTACAAGGAGAATGTGAAGATCGAACTTCACACAGATTATCTGTCACCAGGCCACTTTAACTTCTGCATGACATGCAGAAGTTCACTATTAGCTCATGTGAAACCCTAGTAGCATGAGAACAAACTATAGCATGTGTGGTATGTGTTTTCGCCACACTGTCAGTGGTTTGGAGTGTGTTACTGACACATTGTGTCGTATCTTTGTCTGTTTCCAGGTGGCTGCTGTGAAAAAAGAAAAGGTGAAGATAAAGATGGTGACATCGAGAAGGCCCCAGCTCTCTCTTTATTTATTACCTTCACAAAATGTATGCGTGAGTGTGCGTATGTGCGTGTGTGTGTGTTGTATGCATGCTTCAGAAGGTGAGTGAAAAGGTATGCATTTTGAATGGTATCTAAGATTTCAGACTATTATTTGCAAGTTTTGTTTACTTTTTATAAGGTTCTAATAACTCATATATCATTGTCACAGTAGAAGCAAAACAACTTTACTATCGCTACATATTGTGTTTTGTGTTTGTAACTAGCCTCCTATTTAAGAATGTATATTTGTATGTATGATGTAATCATCTAGAAACTATATAAAGGACAGTTTTATTATTATTGCTTGTTACCACTGAACGGTTCTCAGCAGGGAAGCTCTCCCTGTAGACACATGCATTCAGGAGGCTCAGTCCAATCACGCTGGAGACCACAGGAAGTCCTTAGAATTCTGATTCATTTCTGTCCAGTTCAGCTCTGATTTGTGGACTTTTAAAAAGAAAAAAAAAAACAATAAACAAGATGATGATGATGATGATGTTGACGATCATGATAATGATGATGATGAGAGCTTTAAAGTGATGCAACTCGTCCCCTGGCAGCCATGTTGGAGGTCCTTCAATCTTTGTATTTCGGATTGAGACCAGTTGCTGTAAAATGTACTTATTTCCTGAATCACTTTTGTCTTTGTGGTTAATATTTTTTAAAGAAAAGCTCTTTTTTAAAGGTTGCCGGGAGTTAGAGAGACAGTAGCAGTTGTAAAAAAAAAAAGTAATTATCCTAAAACATTTAGCTTTATTTTTTTGTTTTTTCTTTTGTTTTTTTTCTGCTCTACAGCATGCAAAGCAATATCAAATGGAAAAAGACCTGGCTAGTTTCTTTAAGGAAGCTGATGGAACTGCCCGACTCTTCCAAATAAAAGAACATAAAAAAGATGTGGTCTCATGTACAAAGAGTTGCACGGATTTCCTGCTGAACCATATCAATATATCATACAGTATTTGCAGGGATTAGGGTCCACACCCTCTCACAAATAGTTGAAATCCACAAATAATGGAGTCTTTCTGAAAAGCCTTATAGCTGCTTATTTATATCATTCAAACACCAAATATATCTTAACGTGCATTTATACACACAGTGAAAATTATCAACAACAATCTTACTTATCTTTACTCTTTGGGATAATTTGTCAAATAAATGGCGCTCTTGGATTGGCCGGTTTAGAATTGCTAGCCAATAGTGTATCAGGTACCATTGAACCAAGTTATTTTTTCCTTAGATAATCTTTATGAAAAAATATGTGAATACTTCCAAAGAAAAATCCAGAATATAGCGAAAACGCAAGCACAAATAGCTAGTTAAATATTTACCCTGCAGGTGGAATTATTCTCTCTGAATTATCAAAAAAACATTTCTTTATTGAAAAAAGGATATTTGGAGATTCTCCATATACCCTTTTTGTGTAGATGCAGAAAAAAGCACAGATTGGACAAGTAGTGATAGTAATGATTAACAGATTGATTTGTAAAACCTGTTAATATTGTATACCTGTTGCAGAAACAGGATCACCCACTTTTTGTGTGTGCAGAGGGAAAGGCTGAAGCTGAGACAACTGCTGTAAAGACAAGAGGCACTTGGAGATGTAGGGACGTGAAATAATAAGACAAGGATTAGGTTGGATAAATGTCTCTGCTGAAGCTTAAATATGATGTATATTTTCAAAATCATCATTCTATCCTCGCTCTGTCTCTCTGATAGATTAAACACGTGGCATAATTTAGATTTCTAAGTATGTATTGGCAGACTGAGGGAAACTCAGAAGAATCCATGTCTGAGCTCTAAAGGAGTCATCCTGATGATGGGGAGCCAGAAAACAGCCTTATCATGAGAAATGACAGGGTGCCTCCATTTTGTGTCAAATGCTGTTAAGTTTCTCGGAACCAGCTGTGGATTCGGCTGTGGTTAAGTTGGCCTTGTCTCTGTCGACTGGAAGAGACAATCAGCCACGGCTCACTCTCTGAGCAGATAGCAGGCAGGTTGTTGGATGTTTGGCTTTTCCCTCTCCTGGAATTCAGAATTACAAGCAACTCCAAAATCTTTCTCCAAAATTCAATTAAAACTGGATTGAACTACTCTGAGAAGAAAAACAGATTGTCCTTTTGACATGCATTTAAGTTTTCAGTTTTTAATCCTATCAATTTAAAATGTAATGCTTTTTAACAATGCCAGGAGGACAGGCTATAAAATTAAAAGATGATTTTTAAACAGTTCATAGAAGTTTTCACATCTTTACATATGTTTCAGGTCAGTTTTGGTGAGTTTGTAGGATGTTTTTTAGCTTTTAAAAAATATGAAGTAATCAGTCAGTCAAATTGCAGATGATGAAATGAATACAAAATGTTTGTTCCACAGAGGCTTAATGAGCATAAGATTAAAGTAATAAACTGAAATGTCCCAATATTATATTCACACTGTGCTGTTTATGATAATTTTTCAAAAGAAAATTAATAATACTAATACTAATAATAATAATAATAATAATAATAATAATAATAATAATAATAATAATAATGATGATAAAGCCAGTGAGTTCATGGTACTCCCTACAGCATGCTTTCCACTGTCCTGCTCAAATATCGATGCTTCTCTATTTAATTCATGGACAATCATCTGCACCCTTTGAACATGAGGCTCCTGCATTCTAATATTTCTAAATGGGACATTCTCATTGTTGGGTTGGGTAGCGTCAGTGGACCTCCATGATGGAACCAGATCTTGTTGTTGCAACCTGAAAGCTTCTCCTGAACAATCTGTGTTGAACATACTGATGATGCAGGGACAGCGCAAAGTGCTTTTAGACGCAATACTCCAATGAACCACAACGGCTCTGATGGAAACATAGATTTGAGCATAACAAACATGGGCAATATAAGTGTCAGTGCTTCCATCTGAGAATACGAGCTAATGTACATAAAGACAAAGCAGCAAGACAATAGGCTAAAAAGCCTCACTCTATGTTTTGATCCAGTTCTGAAAAATCCATCTTCCAAGTTTTCTGACATGCCAAAAAATTTGATCGATTCATGTTGATACTTAAATCTGTTTGTTCCTTATTCAAGAGTTATGACTACACCAGAGTTTTCTTTGACAAAGTAAATGTGTGAAGGATGGGTTTATGTGCAGCCTGTGCTGCAAAGGTTGTGCATAACTTTGACTCGTCCCTAGGCCACCAACATACACTCTCCTGAGGCTGTTCCCTGAGATGTCTTCCCCCAAAACTTTGCATATTTTTCTGGATGTTTTGGAACTTTCTACTGAACAAAGCTCGGCTATATAAAGTGACATCATTTGCAAATATGTTAAAAATGATTTTTTCTATTGCTAAGATTTCTTTTTTTTTCTTTTTGTGTAAAGATAATTGAATATTACAGAGTAGTTGTGTTGTGATAATTGTAAGGTATAATCAAACTAATGGCTTCCTTCTCATTAGTCCATTTCAGAACAAGTGAGACATTAATAACGGCCCTGCACTGTTGAACAGCCGAGAACATGAGGCTGCAAATCTAAAGCCACGGACAAATGGATACTGTAGATATTATTCCTGTTCCTCTCTAGCACACACAAACACACGCACACACAATAACATGCGCACACTCAAGTTTGCATTTCAACCCGTATTAGGACTTTGTATTGACTTCCATCAATTTAAGTAACTGGATATAAGCCTAACCCAGATATTTTCCCAAAACAAAACCTAATTCACATCACACCTCTCACCCCTAACCCTAAACAATGGGGTCCTCTGTATTGGGACTGGGCTTTGGTCCCCATGAGGCCCATTGGTCTTCAAAAGGTTAGTAAATATGCAAGAAATGGTCCTAAATATGATAACTAAACAAGTGCACACATATACAATTCCAGGTAAGACAGCTGTATTACCTAACATTAGAAACTGCTCTGCAGCTTCTGCAGCTCCAGCTACAGTATAGTTTACTTTCAACACCATTGTTCAGCTAAAACTGTTTTTTTTCTTTTTTTCTAAAAGGTTACTTAATGCAACTTTTGCAGTAAAAAGTTCTCTCCATACAGACCACTGTTGTATTTTTAAGAATGATATCCCAAAGCAAGCTAATGACATGCTTTGTATTAAACCAAATGTTACAGTCTCCTTCCTTCCTGAGTGTTGAAATGGATAAACTAACCAGCAGTCTATAATGATGCAGAAGAGCCTTATTTTTTGGTTTATCTGCTGTAATCAGGTCAAGGTCTCAAAAATGACTGACAAACCCTCCCTTCTGGCTCTACCTTAGTAGAAACAATAAGTAGGTGGAAGTGTCAGCATAGTGAAGTATAGTCTGTTTGATAATTGGTACGTAGCGTTTAAAATAAATACCATAGACATATCTGTACTAGCATCTGTACCCTTATATGGCAATAATTCCATCCACAAATTCATAATAGAAACAACCAAAAAATAATCATTTCGAAAAGTTTGTCCAAATCTGTTGTACAGATACACTTACAGTTCAACATGTTTGTTTATTAGTTTCTGACTTCAGCTAGAATTTTTAAAAATAGAAGGTAAGTCAAATCTATCACATATATAAAAAAATGTTGCATATTGTGGGTTTTTCAGACCCACTCAATATTGATCCAGTAACAAGCTGGTAAACAGTGAATAAATAGGGAAACCAGAACCTTTTTTCCTTTTCACAACAGAAATAAAAACCCAAACAAGCCATCTTCCACTTAATAACTTTGCATGTTTTCCTTCGTTTGGTTTGACATTTGTAAAGTTGAACTGGAGCCGTTGGGAATAAATGGTTTTCTTTGACAAAGCAAATGTCAGAGAATTCAGTCAGTCTCAGCAACAGACTGAGACTGTTGCTTTTAAGGTTGATTACAGCGACTGCTGCTTCTCCTGTAGATGACATCCAAGTACTGCGTACAGGTGGGAATATCCAACCAATAACAGGGAAGCTATGGAGTTATGAGGCACTTAGACAGTTTATTGTGATTCCGTTCCAATCCAGCTTTTCCAACCACAGAGTTGAACCTCTGAGATTTAAAAAAGATGATGGGCTTAACTTACCCAGCAGCATTTTAAAAAATGCACTTTAAATAAAAATTGCCTGTATGGTCACTTTACTCTCTGGCTTTCCCTAAACGATAAACGCATAAATATTCATGCCCTCTCTCTCGGCTGGATGCAGAGCATGCCGGCTTCCTCACAAATGTAAATCTCATCCCTGGATGTGAACCCTTACATGGACAGAGGGGAGCTGGTAGATCTGCTCTACTTGAAGTTATCTTTCAGCTTTTCAGTGTCACCCGCAGGCTGTGATTGTGCAGCAGGAAAAAGGGGAGGAGAGGCGGTGGGTAATGCCACTAAAGCAGCGTGACAGAAGAGGGTTAATACCATCGAGCTGTGCTAAGATTGCCCAGCCTCGAGTGGCTTTAGGGATTGCAGGCAGTATTAGCCAAGAATAATTATTTTTGCTATGTTGCTCCCTGTGTGAGCACGCTCTCTGTGTGCCGCGCGTTGCTTCATTACACCCCCCAACTGTTTCCTGGAGCTCCTGCAGCCTGCAGTTTGCTGTAAAACTTTTCAAGTCCCACGTGGGCAGAGTTGAAACTCTGTTCAAACAGGAATGTTCTTCATACATTTTGTAGAAGGTCCAGTGAAAGGGGTGGTATTGCATATTTAACACTGTGACTGCAAAATGAAATATCACCGGAAACGTCAAAGGTGGAAGCTTAGCGTGTGAACAGGGTTGGAAGAGTCTCCTTAGCGCTAATGAAAAGTCATGTATGATAATGCATATTTCTATAAATATATATATATATGAAAGGCCTCTATTTTTGGCATTTATTATGTGGACATAAGTGATTTGACTATAATAAACATGTAGGTTGGCTCTGACATGCATCCTGGCTGTGCTCATCAATAAATCTGTGTTTGCAAGATTTTAATGTGAAGCTTCTCTTGCAGTTTGCTTTTTTTTTCTACGCTGCACTGAAAAACTGAACAAAAACATCCTTTTCACAAGTGGTTTGGAGTCGCCAATCACTTTATAGGGTGAAATAATATTGTATACTTTAGGATAGCTGTTGCATTATTTGTTACAACCTCTATGTAATGTTATTATGGAAGATGTAATGTCCTTCTGTAAATGTTTAATGTTGTTTACCTGAAATAAAATTCTTCAAAGATCTTATGAATTCAGACTTTTATTTTGAAAATATTTAAGGTTTCTGCACAAAGAGATTTGATGAGACATTTTCAAAGTTGACCAAAATGTGTTTTTGTTGACTGAGAGTAATGTTGGCCTTTTGGTATTCTAAAAACGAAAAAGAATCTGTGGTGGGAGCTAAAGTCAAAATATGAAAAGCCGCACAGCAAGAAAAAGATTGCTTGATTGTTGTAATGCCAATAAAGATTTTTCTTTGATTTTCAAGAGGGGTGTGAATAATTTGACATGCTGTTGTGATTAGAAATTAAAATAAAACTTGTTTCACCAAAACTGGTGCTCCATTCACATAATTTAATTTCTCATCTCGTTTCACACCACTGACAAACTTTATAGACAAAGTTTGCCGGGCTATAAATGATTCGATTTTTTTAGTTTTTCTTCTTTAAAGTGAGCAATGAAAAACAAAACACAATGGATGTGAAACTTGACTGAAAGGGCCTTTATGTGAATAAAGACACATACATGGGGCCGTGTTGCTCTGTTTCATGGGAAGGAAGAAAATGCTTATTATTATTAATCAGGGTGGGGTTACTTCCATGAGGTCTGTTTTCAGCACAAGCTAAACCCGTTTTACTGCTCATTAACCTAATGTCATACGGGCCTGACTGCAATGACAGGTTTCCTATCTAAAAGCAGCATGTTCACGATGGTTTGAGTCATCATTTCTAACAGAAACCCTGTATTTAATGATTCAGTCCTCTTCAGCTTATTTTTACAGCTCTGACTCACAGCACACTATCAGCACAATGTACTTTACAGGACAAACTGTTATATCCAGTTCTCCAGTCCAACCTGATTCAAATTCAGGTCATTATCTAATTGATTATCAAATATTGACAGAGTGTAATCATTTTTAAATAAGCTGTCCTCATGTATAGTTAAGGATTTTAAAATCTGCAGCTGTTTAGAAGTGATCCAAAGAACAAACTTTTACAATTTGTGTAGATCTACAGCTTTGATTTATGTTGGACAGTCCAGAAAATCGTCTTCATGCTAGCAAGGAGCATTTAGGTTCAGTTATCACTGGGATTTGAAATGCTCTGTGAAGCATGCATGTATTTGGACCCACATAGTTAATGTTAACCCTGTGTGGACCCAATGTAACCCAGCTGATTAATACAAACTAACACAAATCAGCATTTGTTCTGATTTCTCTTTGAAGTTGAATATTGGGAAATCATAAAAAGCAATGTTCAAATCAATGAGATGAAGATGGTATCATCTAAATGGTTCATTTGTTTAAACTTCTCCATTTATAATCTTTCAGCACATCATATTTATTTATTTTGTTTATTGCACATTTATTTACAAGTGAAGTCATCAAACTGAACAAAGAGAGACATTTTATAAAACCATCTGATTGGCTATAAGTTAAAGAAGTCTTTTCTGTTGATCTTCAGTGACCATTCCTTTCAGACACCAACAGATGCCTTCATGCTGACATCTTTTGCATGTTGAAATGTGACAGACGTCTTTTCTACATTTTTAATAATACAACTTCCCACATTTCCCTTTTCAGAATCATTTGGACATTAAAAGACGTCATGCACGACATGCACAATGTAAGCCAAATGTCTAAGGAAGTCCAGCTGACTTCAGTAATCCCTCAATCTGAGCAAGCATGGGACGACTGGTGTTAATGACATATGTCAGGCTGCATCTCTTCTACTTGTGGAGTCCAAGTAAAAACTAGCATTCCTCTATTAGCATGCACCTCCTCTGTCTCTGGCAAACAGATGAAGGTGTGGTTCTTCTCTTCTCTGTGCATGAATAGACTCATGTATTCTTCATCTATTGTCTGCTTTTTCTTTGCTGTGTGGTTCTGAGTATCCTAGTACAAAGGCTCATTACATGAAATGGCATCATGATCTTAAAGTGACAGACAGGAGCTCTCACACTGGATTGAGCTGTGAGCAGTGCAGCCATCCTGCACGCCTTCCTTGCTTCAGTGGAAATTTCCCAGCTGGAAAATTTCAAAGGATACCAGGGAAACTGCTGCCTGTTGGAACGCCCTGTGAAGTTTATGAGAGACCTATAATGCTTCTCCCTCCTTTAACATCTCTCATGTAAACTGTTATTCTGAAAATAACACAATAATATTTGTTTTAAATCACAAGGTAATTTCTGATAGAGCTTGTTACTAAGCTGTGACTAAACTCATTCTAAATGTGCACACTGGTTTGTTTGTACAGTTGAAACCAAATATTTATATATGCAAAATAAAAAGACACAAACACGTTCTCTCGCCACCTGAAGTTAAATCAGATCAAGCTTCTCTTTTTTAGGTCAGTTAGAATTACCAAATTATTCTTATTTGCTAAATGCCAGAAAACCTGAACCTGAAACACACCTGAGTTAAAGCTCAGGAGCAGGTTGGTCTTCAGTATACAGTCCAGGTGATTATAAAATGGCTTAATGACAGTGAAGTCATTGGTTTGGTCATATGGCAGTGAAGCGACCCATAAACCTGGCTGACGTAAGCCAGGTTTGCAAACTCTGGCAAACTCTGGCTTACCTCAGGTCCAGCAAACTTTGAGAAGGTTCTGGAAGGAACCCAGAGGATCTGTGAGTTTATCATCTTTTCATGCTTGACTACTATACAAGGCTCCAGTTACTAGATGGCAGCAGTGATCAAAATAACCAACAGGCTGCCTGTTAAACCCAGTAGCAGAAGGAGCCAGCTATGCACTGGCGAAAACACAGTTGACAACTGATGGAGCTGGAGAAGTTTGGAACAGTGAGGAGAAAACAGCGGCAGAGGGAAGACGAAGAGAATGTCTTTTTTTCATTATCAGAATAATGTCATAATATTAGTTGAATGAAAAAATATATTACCAGAAGGAAGTCATAAAATAACTAGAAAAAAAAATGTTCAGTAGCCCAGCATGTTTATGTGATTACCTGAGTGACTGAGGGGCATGAAAATATTTCTGATCCATTGCTTGACAGAAAATAAGAAACTGGTAAAAGGTGGTGCTGCTTTTTACTGGTGTGTGTATGGAATTAATCAGGCATACCAAGGACTGCTGCTAGAGTTCTGACTAACACCAGAAAAATGGATCAAATTACAAAAGTTTTTAGATATCTGCTCTGCCTCTCAGTGTCTACAAGGACAGGCTTTGTATTGATCTATAAAGCTCTACTGGACTTGATCCAGAACACATTTCCGAGTTGCCAGAAGGATATGAGAAGTTGGTCTCGGTAGAACCTTTTCTTACTTGGCTCATGGATCAGAGCCACATCAGGTGTTGATTTTTTCCTCAGCTGCAGAAAACCTGATTGGAGCAGAAATAGTAGCTTCCTTTAAATCAGGATGGAAAACATCCGATTGACAAACTGTAAACATTTTCATCTTTAATATAATGTTTTTATGCTTTATTTTTAATTTCCATAATGCACTTTGGATTGCCTAGTGTGTGAATGTTGCTGTATGAATATACTGGCCTTGCCTGGTTACTAAGGGATGGCAGGAGAGTCAGATAAGAGCAATTGGAGTCTGGACTCCAGTAATGTTCTTATAAAGAAACCAAAAAGTGAAGCTCACTGTACCACTCTGTCTATATTCCAACCTTTAGCTGTAGTCATGAGACACAGATCATGACTAAAGGAACAAGATTCTGGACACATTCAGAGAAAATATGGATAGATGGTTTTAATATCCAAAATGAGAAATGGTATAAAAGACACACACAAAAAGAGAGAGAGAGAGAGAGTCAGAGAGAGAGAGAGAGAGAGAGAAAAAGAGAGAGAGAGAGAGAGACAGAGAGAGAGAGAGACAGAGAGAGAGGAAGCTGTAAAGCTGGAGAAAGTAAGACACAAATAAACAGGAAGTAGATGTGAAGAGAATGGCTTTTGTTACTTTGTTTTGTGGACACGTCTAATAGGGGAGTGGAGAGTAATAACTCAAAAAAAAAAAACATCAAATTAATTTAAAAATTTAAAAAATTATGTGACTGAAACTATTGGCTGTATTAAAGTAATGGCAATATTGGCTTTAGGAACATTTGAGTTGATTTACTGTAACAGTCCTGTTTCTACACAACATTGTGTTGTTTTCTTTTGGAACTCACTGATAGAAAGTATCTTCTAGCATTCTTCCATATGATCTTTCTGTTACACTCGTGTTCTAGTACATTAACTTTGACCAACTTGAGGAACTTTCATTTATTTCTCCAAATGTTTCCTTTTATTTATTTATGCTCATCTTGTTCAAGTTGTATATGTTTTGTTATGTATTACTAATATGTAACAGTGACTTATGTAACGCATCGACTCGATGAAGCTGACCAAAACCTGCATGCGCCATAAACAACCTCATGGGGAATATAGGGCCATGAAATCATAACAAGTAATAAAATGTCTAAAGGATTCATTTTTCTAACTTTAATTTCTTAATATTTGGAAGAATAGTCAACACAGACTGAAAGACTTCATGCTAAAACACTGCAGAAAATCAATGTCATGGTTTACAGCTCCGCCTCCTCTTGGGAGAAATTGAGTTGAATGAGAGGAATCCCAGAAGGAGAACCGACTGAGATGAGAATCGAGCAACGGACAGGCTTGTTTGCAGTGAAAAAAAAAAAAAAAAATAAATATATATAATATATATATATATATATATATATATATATATATATATATATATATATTATATATATATATATATATATATATATATATATTCTGATCTGTACAGAAGAAACAGTGCCATCAACAGCCACAATGATCAAAGCATCAGAGCCACAATGGTCAAAGCATCAGCTGCTTCTTTTGGAATGCAATTACATTTGCTAATTTTGTTTTATTATTATTATTTTGTGTGTGTGCCTTTTGGAAAGAAAATTGCACAAAAATTGAAATTTCTACTTACTCTTTATTGACATAAAAATATATTTTATGAAACTGTATATTTTTCAATTTCATATATTGTATATTAAACTGAGCTCAAATAAGTACTTCTGTTACTGCTTTCTGATGAGAACATCCTTAATAAGTAGGAGACCCATCAAATCGAGCAGGGCTTGGGTGAGAATCAGCTTTTATTTTGAAGGGGCCCGGTAGATGTTGCACATGCATTGACGTTTCTCCAACCAGACTGAAGCAGAGAGAGAGAGAGAGAGAGAGAGAGAGAGAGAGAGAGAGAGAGAGAGAGAGAGAGAGAGAGAGAGAGAGAGAGAGAGAGAGAGAGAGAGAGTTTGATCGGCGCTCTGACTCCGTGCTGTGCAGACGGAATACTGAGGCTCCTGCGTTGGAAGGGAAACCACTTCATTCGGCTCCAAAGAGGATTTTAAATGAAGGCTCCGGGTTTGCAGCTGAGCATCTCGGATCTTTGTTCCATGTTTCTCCCCCGCCGCGAGATGAGAAGCTGAGGGACGGGGACAGGAGCACCGCGGGGAGACGCTGCGTTCAGCTCAGCAACAAAGAAGCGCTCTGGGAAGCTGCTAAGGCTGAGGGAACGCGAAGTTATTCCCAACAAACAGAAAGTCGTGCCGCAGATCCTTCCTCGCCATGCTGCTCCACGGACTGCTCCGCACCGCGGTCTCTCTGCTGCCCTTCATCCTGCCCGCCTCCTTCAGGGTCAACGCTCAGTATGGAGACCGAGGAATGTCTATCCCGGAGCATGGATTCTGCCAGCCGATCTCCATCCCGTTGTGCACGGACATCGCCTACAACGAGACCATCATGCCGAACCTGCTGGGCCACACGAACCAGGAAGACGCGGGACTGGAGGTCCACCAGTTCTACCCCCTGGTGAAGGTGCAGTGCTCTCCGGATTTAAAGTTCTTCCTCTGCTCCATGTACGCGCCGGTGTGCACGGTGCTGGAGCAGGCGCTGCCCCCGTGCCGCTCTCTGTGTGAGCGCGCGCGGCAGGGCTGCGAGGCGCTCATGAACAAGTTCGGCTTCCAGTGGCCCGACAGCCTCGCGTGCGAGAAGTTCCCGGTACACGGCGCGGGCGAGCTGTGCGTGGGCCAGAACATGTCGGACCGCGCGGAGCCGGAGGGGCCCGGGCACTACCCCACCGCGCGCTCCCCGCCCGAGCCCACGCACGGGCAGTTCAGGTGCCCGGGGCCCCTCGTCGTGCCCCCATACCTGAACTACCGCTTCCTGGGGCAGGAAAACTGCGGCGCCCCGTGCGAGCTGAAGAAGTCTCATGGGATGATGTACTTCAGCGAGGAGGAGCTGAAATTTGCTCGAATTTGGATCGGAATCTGGTCGATCCTCTGCTGCGCCTCCACTCTGTTCACGGTGCTGACCTACCTGGTGGATATGAAGCGCTTCAGCTACCCAGAGCGGCCCATAGTCTTCCTCTCTGGTTGCTACACCATGGTGTCCATCGCCTACATTGCTGGATTCTTACTGGAAGACAAGGTGGTTTGCAATGATCGCTTTGAAAAAGAGATGAGGACTGTGGTGCAGGGCACCAAGAAGGAAGGCTGCACCATCCTCTTCATGATGCTCTACTTCTTCAGCATGGCCAGCTCCATCTGGTGGGTCATCCTGGCCCTCACCTGGTTCCTGGCGGCTGGGATGAAGTGGGGCCACGAAGCTATCGAGGCTAACTCCCAGTACTTCCACCTAGCAGCCTGGGCCGTTCCCGCCATAAAGACCATCACCATCCTGGCAGTGGGCCAGGTGGATGGAGACGTGCTGAGTGGGGTCTGCTTCGTGGGCATCAACAGCGTGGATGCCCTGCGAGGCTTCGTCCTCGCGCCGCTCTTCGTCTATCTGTTCATCGGGACTTCCTTCCTCCTGGCTGGATTTGTGTCCCTCTTCCGCATCCGGACCATTATGAAACACGACGGCACCAAGACAGAGAAGCTGGAGAAGCTGATGGTGCGGATCGGGATCTTCAGCGTGCTCTACACCGTGCCGGCCACCATCGTCATTGCCTGTTACTTCTATGAGCAGGCCTTCCGTGAGCAGTGGGAGAGGACGTGGGTCAGCCAATCGTGTAAGACGTACGCCGTGCCGTGCCCCATCCAGAACCACCCCAACATGAGCCCGGACTTCACCGTCTTCATGATCAAGTATCTCATGACGCTCATAGTGGGAATCACTTCCGGCTTCTGGATCTGGTCTGGGAAGACCCTGAACTCATGGCGGAGGTTTTACACGAGACTGGCCAACAGCAAGCAGGGCGAAACCACAGTGTGACGGGCTTTTCACAAACTTACTCCTGCTTTTTGGACCCACCAGAGACCTTCGCTCTGTTTTATTGTACATACACATTTGTGAGATTTTTTTTGAAAGTATATATTTGTATTTAAAGGCTGAAAAAAAATAGTCCCCCTTTTTTCATCTTTGGATATGTTGGAGAAACATCACAAAAAGCCAGTGAACCATAGCGAATCCTGGTGTCTGTCTCATGACCTGGTTTACTGTGGACACCCCTGGGAGTACTTCACACGGAGTGTTTGTGTCTGTAGGTCGGTGGAGTACTTGTGAGCGAGTGCAGGGTCTATTCTAAGCAGAGTCCCGTGAAACCAAAGTGCTTCCTCGTGGCCTCCTCTTATCCTGATTAACCAGCTGCACTTTGTGTCTGAGGAAGCAAGCTTCAGGTTTCTGAGGCCTCGCGTTGGCCGCCTGGGACAAGAAATGCAGTGCGATGTATGCGTGTGAGTCAGTGAGATAGATGGTTCTGAACAGTGTATTTTATGGGCCCCTGCAGATGTAACATTCCTCTGTTAAAGTAAAAAAAAAAGAAGTTCTTATTGCCATGTAAATGGAAAATAAGGTTTCTCCTGCAGACCTCCGGTTTTCACTCTTTATTTTATTTCTTGCATATATGGGAATCCGTAGTGCCAAATGTCTTCCTCCACAGAGATACACTAATGCATCAAACCTGAGCAAAATAATCTTCAGAGCACAGTCAAATAAAGCCAGGGGATTTGGGAATGAAAATAGTTTTGGACACATTTAGTCATATATTTAGGAGATTTAAGGTAAAAATAGAATCATTTGTAAAACATTTTCCTATTGAAGAGCTTTTTGGACACCTTGGGATTTTAGATGTCACTGCAAAGAACTTATAAAAACATGTTAAAGAATAAAAATCATGTGACTCAGAGGCAAATTTTGACCAATGATAAATTTCCCTAGAAATTATTATGATAAACAATAATATAGTTGTTTTGGGACCATTTTCATGTAATAGAATCATAATGGCAAAATAATGCAAAGTTTCCCTCTTAAAGCAATAAACTTTAATTTAGTAAAGAACACGTAATCCTTGAAGTGGAAGGAAGGTATTTAAAATATTCTCCCCCAAAAGCCTCAAAACCAAGAAACAAAGCAGAAATAAAAACCACACACCACCGAGACCGCAAATGAAACAGATTATGAGGAAAATTGCTCTTTAAAAACATTATCAGAATGGATATTATCTGGCTGATTTTAATTGATCATGTGGTCAATTGATTTATTGCTTACTGCAAGAGGAAAGTAACTGATAAATTTAATAAGCTGCTGGTCATTTAATAACTTCAACTTTTGCAACCTTTGTTGTGGAACTTTTTCAACTGCCGATAAATGAAATGTGGTGAAGCTGTTCTAATTAAAAAGATCAGCAAAAAGTGATTTAGTTTTGATCAGGAGTCATTATGTGACCCATTTCATTGAGTCAACTGGCTCAAATGGGGATAACAACCAAAAAATAAATGGGAATAAACAAATATAGGGCTGGAAGCAATCAATAGGATTAATCAGGTTAATGATGATGAATCGACTATTGAAATGATGATCAACTAATTTAGTAATCAATTTGTCGTTCAAGTGGAATGTATAGACTCATAGACCATTTCCTAAATTAATAACATATTCAGAGCAGCAAATAGCCCAAAATAATCTATATTTTGGATTTAAGATTAAAACCATTTCTGTCTGAATATACCATGAATATGTTAGATGCAGAACTCAAGTGGCAATTTCAGGTAAAAAAAAAAAGAAAAAACATTTCCAACCAACTCTTGCTATGCAGTTACTAATCTGAATAAATAATTCCAGATCAGCCCTGCAGCCTGGATGTTCAGTCCAGTTGAAAGGGCTGAGCTTTCCACATGTCAATGTTTGAAGGATTTCCTTTAGCTGTGGATTTATCCTTTGCTCCAAATGATCAAGTATTCACTAAAGGAATGCAGTTGCTGCATTTTATGCAGTAAGTGTTTATTTTCATATTTCTAAAATTAATTGAAATATTTGACTTGCATTTCTAATTGTATTAAAAAGATAAAATCTGCAGAATGGGTCAGTTTTTATCTTATTAATCCATTATTTGGCTGAATCATTGTTGGAATAATCAATTACTAAAATAACCCCTAGCAGCTGGCCTAACATAAAGATTTCAGAGGAGAATGTACGATTCAGTGAAGGTTCATGTGTGATTTGAGAGTTTTTTCAACCATATATCACCATAAATGATGAAAACCGTTAACCTGTAAAACCGTTATCAAGTACAAAATGGCGTTAAGTGTTGAGCTGAATTTGGATGGACAAAAATGGAATAGTGTTTTTTCCAAAATAAGGGTTCAAACTGGTGATGATGTGAAATAACCCAAAATAGTTCATAATTTATTATAATAAAACCTGATCATTCACAGATGTAGATCTTCTGTTCTTCCACAGCTCAGAATTAGAGCATTAATATGTTGTGATGAAATTAAATCAAGAAGCACCAGATGATTAAATTGATCTGCAAAACTCATTTAAGGAGAAAAAGCAACTGGTTTTTACTCTCAGGCGTGAAATGATCAGATATCTGTCAAACTTTGGAGATTTTTGACAGTTGTACAAATAATTAGCAGAACATAAAAAGAAAAATAATATGGAGTGGTTTCAGAATGACTATTTTTAGAGCAAAAAAAGTAAACCATGCATTTTTTGTATTTTAGAACTTTTATTGAAGTCTTTCTGGGTTTTTATTTGACATAAAAACAAAATTTAGCAAAAGAAGATAGAAAAATGTTAGATGTGTTAGATGCAATTTTAATTCATAAGGAGGTAATGATCCAAGCAGAATTATTGATGCAGCTGGCCTTGCAGGATGTAATCTGCGTTATTTTGTGGGTAACGAGGCTCTGAAAATGCTCTGGGTCAAAGTGAAAGACTGGGCGCCACATGATGATGCATTAGAGGGACATAAACACCAGCACTCTTCATTTTAATCCAGCATGGAAAATAATATTTTGACAGTTTATGGAGATGTGTGTTGTCCATAGAGGGTCTCCAAGGCTAAACAAGGTTCTGTAATGGAGGGAAAAGGGTGTGGCTGGGTATGGGGGAGGTCCATGAATATGTAACCTTGTTTTTACTTGGAAGCTGAATGTTTGAGTTGGTGTTCAAAGGCCTGTCGGTGAGATGCAGATTGTGGAGAACATGGCTGCAATGCAGGACTGAAGCGCAGCCAGCAGCTTGTATGTCTTCCACTGCAGAAAGGAAGCGTTGTGTTGAAATGCAGAGTGGCCACTCACACACACACACACACACACACACACACACACACATGCACACGCAGACTGCGTATCCCTGTCGGATTCTCTTCCACACGGTGCTTCCGATTCTTAAGAACTCTTTTATTGTCTTGACGTATCTACAGTTGTCACGGCTTTGAAGTAATTTTCGTTACCTTTGCTATGAAGAGAACTTTTTATATTTATAGAAAAAAAATCTTATATAAGCACACACTACATTGATTTCTTTATAAATAAATAAATAAAAAAAACTCACCAATGCAACTTTTGAGCTATTTGTCTAATGTTTTTCTTCTGTCACAAAGTATAGCAATCGCCTTTATATGTCTGTTATTTTTATTAAAAAAAACAATAACTCATAATTTTTGGAAATGTCTAGTGTGTATGCTCACTTTCAAACTGTAGGAGTGGGGGCCGCTCAGCTCTGAAGATTCCTTCAGATGAAGCTAATATGTAACTTGGACGAGTCGAGCTCAGTGAGCGTTCTGAGTGTTTTCTCGCTGAGCAGCTGCAGAGGAACGACGAGGAAAAGGAAATTCTTTTCATGAAAGATGTACTGCTGAACTTTCAACTATGCAGACAGTAAAGATTGGAATTTATTATTTTTAAGGGGGGCTTGCTTTTTAACCCGAATTCCTTTTTGTTTCCAGAAGTTGGTTTGAGAGGAAGTCTAGTGAATAATGCTTTTCATTTCATGCACTGAAATAGGCTGACTTAGAGTTACACAGATCGTATGATGGTGTAGGCATTGTTCTGTCTACATTGTCATATAATCTGTGTAATACAGACTGTGTAACAGCATAAGCTCATCTATCAAAAATATGTGCTGCTTCTAACACCACAAGGCTGAGTCTCATCGTAAAGGTGATTAATTGTTTTCTATAGAAGAAGTTTAGTGTTTTTTTCAGCAAATCTAATAACCTTTAAACTTTTCCTGGATCTACATTTGGTCAGTGTGGGCTCTGCAGCTGCAGTGGCTCTCTGTCACCTAATTCTAACAACTTTGGATTGAAAATGAACAAGAACCAACAAATGTTTTCCAATGCAGTCACACTAGCATTCATGTTTTAGCGGTTTATTGTAATAGAAATAATTGAATTTTGACAAGTAATTATTTTAGGTCTATTTATCTTATCATTAGGGTAAAACTTCTTTTTTTTTTTTTTTTTTTTTTTTACATAATTTTTAGCAAACATCAACATCACAAAGGTATCAAAGTGTTTCAAAGTTTTAAGTTGTACTTTTTGAAAAAGGACAACATATCATTGCTGTCCCTTAAAAAAAGAAGAACTTTCAAAAAACTCAATGTACTTGAGCAGTGAGTACATTGAGCAGTGCTCAAGTACAAGACGGACTGAAAGCAGTAAGCCCCTCGTCCTGGCTCTGGTTGTTTCGGACTCAGTGGCGCATTTCTGTAGTTAGTATTGGGAGCACTGGGAGAAGGCAAAGGAGAGAGATTTTTTTCATAGATTATCAGAATAATAAAAATTACAATTTAAATAAATATGTAAATTATAATTTTTATTATACTCAAAAAAAAAAAAAAAAAAATATATATATATATATATATATATATATATATATATATATATATATATATTGTAAAGGTTACATACTGCAGCTTAAACACATCTCTTAGATACTGAGGCAGCTACTAATTCAATGTAACTAGATGAAAAAGTTTGTTTCCATTTCAATTGAAATAGAAAACCTTAAAGACATAGGAGTTCGCTTTGTTGGTTTCTGGACCTTAAACCACTTAAAGCTGCATTATGTAATCCTGATACACAATATGTTTTTATTTATTAGTTAAAACTGTATTATGTTTTGACAGAACAGGTCGCTGTTCTGTCAAAGTGAACTGTGAAAAGATCGACTTCCTCCTCCCCTCTGCTGCTGCAAGTCTGAAGAAACGTATTTCTTTGGCAAGAAATTCAAAAACTCTTCAGCGTATATGACTGAAAAGAAAACATATTGTTGCAAACATTTTGTTGCAATTGTCACATTGCTTTTACATATGTTAGCCAGACTTAACTTTCAGAGCTCTGTTCACTCAACTGTTGTCCTTTATTTTGTTGTAACCGTGCTCCCGAAGACACAGGAACTTATGATTGCAAATTAAAGTCGTGGTTGACGGAAACAAAAGGCCCTGCCCTACAACTCAGAAACTGTCAGATTTTTTATTTTTTTTCCTGACTGAAAAGTCTAAAATTTGTAAGAAAAAAAGTCCTTGTACATCTTTGACTTTTGGAACTGAGAATTTTCCATATCAATTCAAGAATTTCTATGTTTTTACACAAAAACATACTCCTGTTTTTTTTCTGTTGACAATGATCTAATACACCATCATAGGAACTTCCATTGTGCATAACTTATGTCAATTAGAGATGAACAACAAAGGTCATACACCTTATGTTTCCCAAAGCTCTTGAATACAGCGTGCTTAAATGTTGCCATAGTAGAGCCTCAGGGTTAAAAACAGCCTCCAGCCTGCTGCAGCCGCCATGCTGAGGCATCAGCTGCCACAGCCATTGTTCCCGCTCTCTTCAACTGTTTCACAGCTTTTACATCAGCACTGCCCCAACAACTCCTGACGTGGACTGTCACATACATAGACATCTGACAACTGTGAAGACTGACCTTGGGGGCTGGGACGTGGAACATGTGTTTCACACAACAACACTGACTGAGTCGGTTGCTTTGTAAATAGAAATGTGAGGCTAACATGAGGCCATCTGGAACAGACTGTTTCTCTGTGATTGTGACAGCAGTACAGAATAGTTGTTAAATGTTGAACCCTGAAGCAGATCAACACTCCCGTGTTCATTGCAGCAAAAATCCTTACATCTGGTTCTACTCTTTGATCAGAATATGGTCACAACATGTTCTGTTGTTTTACAAATGTCCTGCTTCATATGCAGCTGGAAAAATATCTGTCTTCTGTATAGAAAGCTTCACAATCTGACGAAAGGAAGAGAGAACTTACTTTCAAGAACTTATTCAAGAGCAAATAAAATGTCAGATTTGTTTTATATTAAAACTCTCTTTTTACACCCATTACATTTATCATTGTAGAAGTGTCATTGGAACATTGGTAAAATAATGATCTTAAACCTTATTTTGATTTAGTATGTCTCCATACCTGGTAGAAAACATGGTAGTCTTCAAATGCTAGTCTGGTAAATGCAATCAATCAATCAATCAATCAATCAATCAATCAATCAATCAATCAATCAATCTGTCAGTCAATCAATCAATCAATCAATCAGTCAATCAAGTTTATTTGAATAGCACATTTCAGCAACAAGGCAGATCAAAGTGTTTTACAACATGAAAATATTAAATCATGTAACACAATCAGCAATTGAAGCATTATATTTTATCAGGTGCCATCTTGGTCCACATCAGAGCTCGATTGTGCATTCACACCTCCAACATGGCTTTGTAGGCAAACAAACTGGAGTTGAATTAAAGCAGACTTAAGGGATCTTATTCTTACACATAATATGGGAGCTAGCTGACAAAGTTCAGCATTAACGCCGAAACCACATCATATCTCATGTCACTCATGTAAATATGGCAGAATATTTCTCAGAGTGCGTTCTCCATGACTGTCAGGAGGCATTTAAGTTATTATAATGAGAACAATAAATCAGGAGCTTGCTTTTTGGCTCAACAACAACAGAGTGATGCAGCGCCCGTGTTACTGGAGATTAATTCCCAGTCCATCTGTTTTACCCTAAAATGACTGGTGAACAAGACACCAGGATCCTTGAACTCGTCACCTTGAGGGATTGGCGTCCAACCAACATGGAGCAATCCATGTTTTAATCAAAAAGGAACCGCAGGAAAAAAGGAACTGCATCCACATGCTGAAGGTCATGGACTGAAGAAGTCAACAGAACCATCATCTGAGAAGAGCAAAGAGTGGATGCTGAAGTTCCCACACCAAACAGTTCACACTGAACTGTGACATCGATGCATCATTTATTTATTTATTGGTTTTATTCTAATTATTCATTTTTACTGTTTTGTTTTTTTTTTTGGGTAGATTATTAATATTCATTATTTGTTTCATTTTAACTTAGTAGCTCAGTTGAGTGTTACTATCGTAATGAATTTGTCAACTGAAGTATTTCAAGTAGAAGGGTGAATTACTTTTGTTAATAAAATTTGATATTTTGGAGAGAATTTATATATTTATGCTGTTCAAGAATGTCAGATCTTAACTTAATCCTTTATCCTACTGTATTTAATACTGTTGCCTCCTCAGGCAGGTATTCAAAAACAATAACTGAGACTGAGAATCATTTGACTATTTCCTGATTATCAAGCTGTGCCTTGATTTAGTCATTTTGATTTAAATTGATTTAGTTAATAATTCAGCATTTTGTCATAAATTTACAAATCAAACCTGTTGTTGCAAGACAACAGATATCACAATCTGACAGGCCTGCTGAATTTTATGAGGTTGACCGGATAAATGTTTCTGAGATTTGTGATGGTGATAGACAGACAGTTTTTTCTGTTTCCTCTACTTTTGCATACAGTGAATTACATGGCAGAGCATCATCTTATTAGGCACTTTAGAGTTTGATCAGTTGTTCCATGAAGTGGAATTGTATTTTGTGACATTCTTAAGCAAAATACAATCCAATGAGTGATTGGATTGTATATAATGAGATCTATCTGGATCTCAATATATACAATCCAATGAGTGATTGGATTGTATATAATGAGATCTATCTGGATCTCAATATATACAATCCAATGAGTGATTGGATTGTATATAATGAGATCTATCTGGATCTCAATATATACAATCCAATGAGTGATTGGATTGTATATAATGAGATCTATCTGGATCTCAATATAGATCGGGATAGAATTCACATGACCCCTGCAATAGAAAAATGGGAGGGAATTTGCACATTAAGACAAAATCCGATTTTCGGGGAATCTTCAGGACACAAACAGCTCAGAGACAGAAAACAACAAACCTTATCTTGTGGAAAGCATGTGTAAAATGTTTATTTTCTAACATGTATGTCATTCTTTCTGTTTCAGTGAGAATCACCTCAGGCTACAATTTATTAAAGTTTCTAAACTAATCTAGTTTAGCAACCTAAACGGTGTTACAGCACAGAGTTCCTCTCTCTCCATGAATTTCTGTTATCACCTGAACTAACCTTGCCAACAGCAGAGAAGTAGAAATCTAAAAGAAAAGGAAAGAGGCTTCTGTTGTCTGAAAGAAGAGCGCCATGTCTGAGC